CCCGTCATCTGTTAGATTCTGAAGGACAACTTGAGTTAATACAATGTCACTTAAACAATTTCATCATTGCACCAAGCAATAGCATAATGCACGGAAAAAAACAGTTCAAGAGAATGCTAAAGATTATACCTGAGCACCACAGAGATCTAGGAATATAAGATGAGGCAAAAGAGATATCTTCTTATAAGCTTCATCTGTTAAACTGCAAGTAGAAAGGAAGCAGCTTGTCTGATTAGGAATTCAAACAACACATGCAAATTTGTAGTATATCTTTGAGAGATAGAAAGGTGCATACACACACGACACACAGTAAAATGGAACATATTTTTTCAGGTATATTAAAATGAAATAAGTGGTTACGTGGAAAGGGCATAAAGGTTCAAACTCTGAAGAGAAGAGCACTTCAGCAAAATCCGTTGCAAACCAGAATCTGTCAGCTTGATGCACCTAATCACATCTAACAAAATCAGTACAATCAAGAAGACGTAATTGTATCTATTCCCTCTCAAAAAGGTTATAAAGACCAAACAATTAGCAATACTCTAACGATACTCAATTATAAGTATCCTTTTAGAGAAAGGGAGGTTTATCGATATCAGACCATCACCATAAAACAGACGAATGCCTAAAGCCAAGAAAGAGCACACTTCTATCCCAGAGATGCTATAACATTTGAAAACAACTCTTCCTTAACATTTTTTTTCTTTTTCTTTCTCTCTCAGAACAATCTTTTGCAAATTGAGAGAAAATCTCCAACCTAGTGATGTTCAAGGACTCCATTTCTTGATAATTGTCAGCAACAAGATGCAAACTTTTATCTGTAATATTCTGCATAGCATATCAACAAAGTGAGACGATCTTCAGCACAAAAGAGTATAGATTGAATGGAAGTCAGAGGATTTGCATAACGAGAAACAAGTGCAGCTTGTTTGCATATTGCAAACTTAAACTGTTGAAAAGCACCTGCAGCTCAGGGCAAAGAGAATGAATGTAGGGGGTAGAACTCACAGACTGACACAGCAGCCAAGCAAAATAAGAATTGGATCATTATACTTACCACTAAAGAAAAAGGCAAAGGAAGAAGTTGAAATGTTTTGAAGTGAACTTCACAAACACCTCAGCATATTTGTCTTGTATAACTGAAGAGCAAATTAAAACTAACTTATTTTATCTAGGCTCCTATTGAACTTTACAATAAGGTAAATAGGGACATGATAAAGTTCTAGTGAATGTAGTACATAATGGCATCAGGTTGGTTTAGGGAGACAGAGAGTTTTTGAGTGTATCCTATGTTGCACAAGTGTCAAGCCTTAGATGCATGGAGCTCGCATCAAATGCTATTATCATTAGATAGCCCCTTAAACTTGGCAAGAATTGTCAGGCACTCCAACTTAGCTAGGGACCATTTAGACACTCTCGTAAACACCTCAGGCTGACATAGAAAACAGTGTTTTCCACATACATTTAAGCGTGTAAATGACATAAAATTACACTTTTCTCTTGCTTTTTTGTCCTTTTCACCCTCCTTCTTCCTCACTTTTCTTAGATCATTTACCAACTCCCATTCCTATTTAATCCTAATTGATAAACATCCAAGAATAAATAATGAAAGAACTTGAAAACCAAATCATATATAAGCCCATGGCTAATTGCTACCATGGCAAAAAACTTCCACTATTAGAAGAAGTCGCCGTGAAAATGAAAAAGAAGCCGGAGGCAGGTTAGGGGTATGGGATCTGAAAAGAAAAAGAGGGAGGGATCTGAACGAAAAAGAAAAAGCAGGGGAGGGGTCCCAACGAAGAAGAAGCAGCTATCTTTTCTTCTCCGTTTTTTAGAAGAAACGGGGGAATCTCGGATTTAGTCACGGCCGGCCAGAAAAATGATCGCCGTTTTGGGCCAGTAAATGTTCTCTCCCTCTCCTTTCTTTCACCCCCTAGAACTCACTTCACTACTTAGTTTTAACCACAGATTGTACCATGGAAAATACCAGAACCTTTTGCCAGAATCGCTGTCCAAAACCCAAACTCTGGCAGCCCACCAGGTCGAGAATGACACTGTGTACTTGAGTAATAACCCCGTGTTTTCAGTTTGTTTTGGTGAAGCCACCAGGTCCCTACTTGTATAGATGATTGGGTGGCTTTTATTAGAGAACCATATTTCAGTTTAGGTTCTTTACTTTTTTGGTATACTGCTTATATATGGGGTCTTTTTTCTCCCAACATCAATAGAGATATTTACTTTACCCAAAAAAAAATGAAGTCTTAAGCATTTTAGACAAGAACAATAATTTACAAGAACACTAAAGTCGATTTATACAACAATAATAACTATGTTTCAAGCCCACCTAGTTGGGATTGACTATATGAATCATCATATCCATGTCGCTCCATTTAGGCCGGTCTTTATCAAATATCAAATATTTAGGTTCTCTAACACTAGATGTTCTCTGCATTTTCTCTAGCACACAAATATCTAACAAGATTAAAAAGACTGCTAGCCAACATTGGACCTAAAGTGAGCATACTAACATGACTAAGCCTTAAGCCCAACTAATTGGTATCGCTTGTATGGATCCTTTTCTTCTGTTGTTCCCTATTTTTTGTTAAGTCTGCATGAATTCGAAGAAATTGTAGGTCTTTCAAAGCAACTTCCTTCGTTTTGATTTTAGGTGTATCTCGTCCTTCTGTTAACAATTATATCACCATGGTCTCACACCTAGGAACAGGTGCTTCTGGAGGTTGATGCAAGACATGCTCATAAAATAATACTGAAACATATGTATAACAAATTAGAAATACATGCACCTTGCAGCCACTTAAGTTCAAATCCACCACTGATCTGCAGTTCTTGACCAGATGAGTAATGCCAACATCTGTTACCCTAAAAGCTTATCCAAAAATTGCAGGTGACAAATTAAATCTCTTTGGTCATGCATCAGCTATATAATAAATTAGGAAAGAGCATTAGATGAAGATTGAGATACCTTACATTCCAATAAATGGAAAAGACCTTCAGTCTAGGACAAATACTTGTCACTACTTCGATTCCCTTGTCAGAGATCCTTTGACAGCCATTTAGATTTAGAATCTCCAGATTTAAAAGGGAATTCCCACACTGCAGATTTATGACACCACGGAAACATCATATTTTCTGTGACAAAAAGAGTACCATGCAGGACACATTAAAAGTTATTTATTACCACATATTACAAGGATTAAGCAAACTTTTAGTTATTTCCATTAGATGATAAGATCTAAGCTGTTAAGATAACAAGGAAAAAGATTACTTCTAACTTTCTGAGGATTATAAAATGGTTCCAAGTAGATGGTGGTAAATAATAAGGTCAAAGGTGCTAATCAAATGAGGCAGCCTCCACATCGGAATTTGTACTGACTGGAAATTAAAGAAGAAACTATGAAAACATGCTAATTTATATGACTTTGCAAATCCCACCTTGCTTTTAACAATTTCCAGTTGCTTGTCTTCAATATCCTGTGCAAACTCAAGGTTGATATGCTTCACATTGCGATATCTAGGCTGCAAAAACAAAATATAAGACAAATAAAAGACCTGTCTCCCTAAATTAAAGAAACCCATTCTCATATATTGCTTCTTTTCGTCACTAACTTAATAGATATCACATAAACCAATGAAGACTGGCCTGGTTATCAGTTAAGATGGAGGCTAAGACAAACATCTGCCGCCTTTGTCAATGTACGGTTTTATGTCCAACTCAGACATCACTTTTTTGGGATGAAAGTGGTATCCATACCAGTTTGCGCACACCTCAATTATTCCACGGGGTACTTGCTACCTCCCACCAACCCAAGAACCAGGTAACTCGCCCGCCAAGGTTTGGGCAAATGGGAAGAAATCACCTAATCAGTATTATCCTCACTAGTATCTGCACCAGATGGATCTAGTTCCTACTAGTGTTCCTATTGCTTGACAAAAAAGGTAGAAAGAAGGCAATGAAACCTAGCCTAGTGGTGAGCATTTAAGATGAAGGTGCTAAGACCAAGTGATTTCCGGTTCTTATCCAGCATGATAACTAACCCACAAAAGAAAAAGGAAGAAAAGGGAAGAAAAAGGAAACAAACCAACGAAAGAGCTGAAACAAGGCGATTGCCAGCATTACTCATCTCATGAAAATCAAGAACCTGTAAGAGAAAAGCAAAAAACACCAAAACAATACAACCCCACATAAGGAAATTGGTATTTTTTTAATAAAGAGATTAAATATATACATGTAAATAAAGAACTGAACTAACCAGCCAGAGAGAGGGATGTGAATGAAGAGTGTGGTGAATCCAAGGGCTAACAAATAGAAGATTGATGAGTTCTCTTTGGGGGGAGTCTGGTACTCACTATTTTCATCACTTTTGGCACTGTTTCTTTGTTCCAAATCGCTTCTGCTGTTACCTTTTCCTCCATTGCTCTGCTGGACTTTGACGATGGCTCTTTCTGCATTTTCTCCATTTTTAGTCCTTTTGTCATTTTAGGAAGGCGGAATACCCAAAAAAAACTCCCTTTTTATCAGCTTACAAGTAGGTTATTTTTAGCTTTTAATTGCATATAGTCATATATAATAATTTATTGGCGAAATTACCACTTAAATTTGTAGGGCTTTTGAAAGCCGATACACAAATTTTCATCTTTCCCATTTAAACACTCAAACTCGTGAAACCTATAACTAATAAACACCTTTGACCATTGACCATGCTTATGTGGCGATAGCTTATCTTACGTGGACATAGTGCGTACAAGTCACATTCAAATGGCACATGTAATTGTTATTATTCATTAAAAAGATTTTAAAATAAAATAAAAAAACAGAAGCTATAAGCAAAACCAAAAAAGAAGAAGAAAATGGTGGCTGAGTTTATTGACTCCGCCTTATTCTGCCGGTTCCTCCAAAAAAGAGAAATCAACCATGCAGCTAAACTGCCAGAATTTTTATCAATTCCTATGGGAGATAATTGAGAGAAAAATTGAGGTCTATGAATGTTACTGGAGAAAGGATTAGATTTGAAGGCCTAGCTCCACCGGCTCCAACGACGGAGACGGCGAATTTTCTAGGGGGGACGATGGGGAGAATTACAGTGAATGATGCTAAAAAAAAATTGAGGTTTTCTCAGTTGGAGAAAGTGAGATTGAGACTTAGAGATATGCCGATGAACTCCATTTCGTACTCTAAATTTGTTGAGATCTATAGTGAAGTTTGTAGCAACAGAGAACAGGGTTTGGAGTTTGCAAAGATGTTGGACGATTCAGGCAGCGTCATCGTTTTGCTCCGTCCCCATCAGGTAAAAGTTGCACAGCTATGGTGAAGAAGAAAATAAGGAAAATAGAAGAAAAAGTAGAAATTAATAAATTTATTCCAGCACATCTATGGGGTTTGTTTCCCTTGACGTGTAACAATCTCATTGGTCATTTGCTGACTGGATAGACACGTCTGTAAATGTGTAATACACGCGCGTAGGGTCAATGGTCAAATATGTTTATTAGTTAAGGGTTTCACGAGTTTGAGTATTCAAATGGGAAAGTCCAAAGTTTGTGTATCGGCTTTCAAAAGCCTTACAAGTTTAAATGGCTAGGAAGTCATTTCGCCTATTTATTACAATTATGTATTTTTTCTTGCTTCATCTTGTTATATAATGTACTCTAACTTTTATTCTTTTTAATTTCTTCTATAGATATAATGTATGTTTGTTTCAAGTGCATATTTCTTCTTTTTTTTGGGCTAAATATGTAAAAGTTTAATTGGAACTCCATCATTTTAGCCAAATAGAAACTTTTAGCAAAAATAATGGAGTACTAGTTGTGTATGATCTGTTATTTATTTTCTTTAAATATAATATCTATTTATTTTAATTATGTATTTTTATTTTCGAGTCAAATCAGTAAAAAATAAAATGGCTACAACTCCATTATTTTTTACAAAATAAAAAGGTATTGTTATAAATAAAATTGTATTTAAGGTGAATGTCTATATTCTAAAGAGATTCTAGGGTTTGTTACTTGGTGGCTAAGTCACTTTTTCCCTACAAATAGAGGGTTCTATTCCATTGTAATTGATCCCAAATCAATAAGAATTCTCTCTCTCTACTTTTCTTTGCAATACTCTTCTTCTTCTTTTATTGTTTCATAACACGTTATTAGCACGAGACTCTAACCAATTGAGTAGAAGCTTTGGGATTGAGCATAATGATTGTCAATTGTTACGTGAACTTCCTTCATGATTAAATTCTGGATTTAAGGTATGTATTTTACCGTATTTTTCTCTATTATTCTATAAATTGATTTTAAATACAAGCAAATACAATAAATTTTGATTATAACTCTAATGGAATTAGTAAGAAATTATAACCACTCGAAGTAGTAAAATTTTTATGTCTTGCCATGATCAAAGTCATGTATGATCGTGAGAACAAGAAGTGGAAAATCGTCCCATTGAATTTGCTTTATTCTCATTCCCTTAAGAGAATGTGGTAGCAATATGTAATAAGTCTAAAAGAAGAAAAATTATTACCGTGAAGGTATCAATGGATATGGACGTAGCAATAGACGAAATTATAATCGTTATCATTATGATAATGAGAACAATAAGGATTCTCAAAATAATTTTTCACTCTGTGAAAGTAATATTTGTCATCGATTTGACATGAGATTTTGTAAAGCACATATAGATGACTATGGTCCATTCATGATGTGAATGTGACAACATGTGATTTATGAATACATATGTGATGACCCAAAATGTCATCTTTAATTTAAATAATTATCTTTGTATTTTAAGACCTTGAAAAGAGCTATCAATAAATCCTCGACTTGCGTGCGCAATCCATATAATTTTTCGGAAGGTTCTTATGTGAAAAATGAATTAAATTGTGAATTAGAGCTTTAAAACTCAACTGAGTTGACTTCGGTCAATATTTTGAGCAAACGAACCTGGATAAAAGTTTTGACCATTCCGGTAGTTCCGTATTGTAATTTGGGACTTGTTCATATGCCCGAAATCGAATTTGGAGGTCCCTAGATCAAATTATCGTCATTTAACGGAATCTAGAAATTTAAGGTTAAAGATTTCTTAAGTTTGACCAGGGATTTGACTTTTTGATATCGGGGTCAGAATCCAGTTTTGAATTTTTTTTAGCTTTGTTATGTCATTTATGACTTGTGTGTAAAATTTGAAGTCAATCGAACTTGATTTGATAGGTTTTTGCATCGAATATAGAAGTTGGGTGTTCTTAGTTTCATTAGGCTTAAATTGGGGTGTGATTCACGGTTTTAGCTTTATTTGATGCGATTTGAGGTTTCGACTAAGTCTGTATCATATTTTAGGACTTATTGGTGCATTTTGTCGAGGTCCTGAGGGCCTCGGGTGGATTTCGGAAGGTTAACGGATATAAAAGGCTGCTGAAATTTTCTGGGCAGTTTCTGCATTTTTCGCACGTGTGAATAGTGACCGCACCTATGTGAACAGTACTCGTGTACAGTACCCGTGTACAGTACCCATGAACAGTCCCCGTGAACAGTAAACGCGTGAACAGTACCACAGAAAATTCGCTAAGTTCTGAATCCCATTTTCCATTTTTACCAAATTGGAGCTCGGGGAGAGGCAATTTTCGGGAGATTTTCAGAGAAAACAATAGGGTAAGTGTTCTTAACTTAATTTTGGTTAGATTACCCGAATCTATTACTAGTTTGACATTTAATTGGTGATTTTAGTTGGGAAAATCTTGAAAACCCTCTTGGTTTAATTTGAAGATTTGAGGATCGAGTTGATGTCGGATTTTGGTAAAATTGGTATGGTTGGACTCGTGGTTGGATGATGTTTCATATTCCTTAATTTTTGTCGGGTTTCGAGACGTGGGCCCCACGGGCAAATTTTTAATGCAATTTTAGATTTTAAAGGGAAGATGTAGAATTTCATATGGAATTAATTTCTATAATTTTTATTGACTGAATCGAATTGTTTATGACTAGATTTGAGAATTTCGGGCACGAATTCGCGAGGCAAAGGCTTGTTGGAATTTTGAATTGGTTGCAAAGCGAGGTAAGTGTTTGGTCTAACCTTAGCTTGAGGGATTAAGAGTTGTGTCCTATTTGTTATGTGTTATTTGTTGACTACGACGTATAGGCATGGTGACGAATATCTATACGTTGGTGTTAAGCATGCCCGTGAGTCTTATACTTTGATTAATGTGACTCTGTTTCGTATTGTATATGCTTTATATGATAATTTCTATTGAGGAATATGACTTGTGGAAGTATTCTTATTAATTAAACATGGTAGAGCATTGACTCAAGTTGAGAATTGAATTGTTGAACATTGCAGAGCATTGGTTCAAGTTGAGAATTGAATTGTTGAACATGTTGTGAATTGAGTTGTTAAGTAAACGTGAAAAAAGAAAGGAGAGAGGGAGAATCATGATATTATCTCCCTTGCCGGGATGTTATTGTTTTGATATTGTTTCCTTTGCTGGGATTTGATTGTTGTACTATTGTTCCCTTGCCGGAATTTTATTGTGATTTTATTTATTTCCTTGCCCTTATTCCTTGTGATTGTTGTTTGGGTAAGGAAGAGTGTTAAAGCACGAAGGGTGATGCCTTGTATGATTTGGCGAGGAAGAGTGCTAAAGCACGAAGGACGATGCCGTATATGATTTTGTGAGGAAGAGTGTAAAGCACGAAGGGTGATGCCGTGCCGCACGATGTACAATTCTGTGCCGATTATATTGATTTTATGGTGAGGATGAGAGTAAAAGCACGAAGGGTGATGTCGTGCAGTTTATATTGATTCTTATGGTGAGGACGAGAGTAAAAGCACGAAGGGTGATGTCGTGCACTTGTCCTTGATTTTTCCTAATTCTAATTGAGTTATGTTGTCCTTTACATTTATTTACTGATTTTCTATTGTTACTTGATTTTATTTCGATGTTATAGATTCTCTTACCCTTATTTCTTGTGATTATTGCTTGGGTGAGGAAGAGTGTAAAGCACGAAGGGTGATGCCATGTATTGTTTTGGTGAGAGAGAGTGTTAAAGCACGAAGGGTGATGTCGTACACTTTTTGTTTGTTGTGTTTACTTATTATTAACAATTCAAGTGTATTAACTGTTTAGATCCCTTTACTGTAGTGGTCCTTTGTGTTGGAATCCATAGTGTTTACAATACCTCGCCTTATTTTTTTTATATGTTCAATACTTCAAATTTCAGAATTTGTTACATTTTTAACTCAATTGATTTCTCAATTAAATTTTCTTTAAACCGTTTGGGGTTGTACTTTACTTAAAAGGAATTTCTACTATGTTTTTATTTATTGATTTCTCGTATTAAAGGTAATGATTCATTCGATATTGTACTTTAATTGAAAATGATATTTTCTTTATCAAATGATTTCTAAAAATAACTGCATCTTTTCTTGTTGATTTCCTAATTGGGTTGGAAGTTGTACTCTACTTTATGTTAAGTGAATGAGGCTCTTTGAACATTCTTAATTGTATTGGGTTATGGAACCTACGAACTGAGTAACATGAGGATATTATTGTGCAATGTGAGGCAAAAATATGTGGGCACAAGGTGCCGGGGAAAATATTATGGTTTTATTTAATGGCACTTGAGTTGTCCGTGCGTTTGTGATATAAATATGGGCACGAGGTGCCGTGAAAATATGAAAGTGGACTGAGACCTATATTATTTATGATTATGAAATGAGGCGTCACAAGGTGACCTTTACTCGAAAGAATTATATTCGAAAGATGCTTATCTGAAAGATATTTATTTAAAGGAAATATATTCAAAATATATTCATTGAAAAGTATATTATCTTAGAGATTTATATTTGAAGGACTTGATTAATTGATTGCACTTGTATTTATTAATTGTTGGGGAACATTTATGGTATTCTTGTTGCCTGCTTTTTATATCATTGGTTGATCATTGCTGCCATCATTGTTATCTGCTTCCTATTATTTTGTATGTTATATTGCACAGGTTTATTTGGTAGTCTGGTCCTAGCCTCGTCACTACTTCACCGAGGTTAGGCTAGACACTTACCAGCACATGGGGTCGGTTGTGCTGATACTACACTCTGCACTCTTTTGTGCAGATCTCAGTATTGTAGACTTCAGACCGCAACGAGATTGTTGTTTCTTGTTCATCATGCGACCCGAGGTAGTCATGCAGGCGTCCGCAGGACTTGGCGTCTCCTTCTATCTATTATTCATGTTTCCTTCATGTATTTCCAGAGACAGTGTTGTATTTATTTCTTTCAGACCTTTATTTGTAGTACTCCTAGATAGTCTGTGAAGTTGTGACACCAGTC